AAATCAGTAAAATTTAGCTTGACAGCCTCACTTTTTTTGTTTGTTTTAGTTATGAAACGAAGTTTATTCAGAAGTATTTATGGTATTTCTCTCCTTCCCCCAAATATGAAAGCAATAAGGCAAGAAGTGTAAATTCCTTTTAAAAATAGGAACCGGGAGTGATAGAGGGAAGCTAGAGGAAGAAGAATTTAGAGCAAGGTAGGTGCAGAAATTATTTGGTGCATCTGAGAAACTCACATTGAAGCAGTGAAGTATGGTGAGAGTTATAATAATAATCTGACAATATAAAATAGTGGAGTCTTTTGTTGTCATCTTCAAAAGCAAGAGAGCACTTAAAAATACAACTTCCTTGCTTAGGTAAGTTCTTGAAGTTAAAGGTATTTAATGAGGTTAGGTGTCAGGACTATTTAAGAAGAGACCCAGGCAACATCTGCCATGGACAATGAGAAAAATAAAGGATATCTCAGAAGCAACGTTCCAAATGGCTTTACTAAACAGCTTGTATTTAGAGAGTGGTAGGGCTCATGTTTGTTTTTCAGTGTTTGGAGATTAAATCATATATCCGTTATGACATTAAGGAAATGCCACTTTATGTCAGGTACTGCTGAAAATAGATGCTCAATAAAAATCTGCTGGTTAAATGATTAACTTATTGAACAAATTGTTGATCATTCAGTCTGTCCTTAGTCTGGATATAGAGTGTTGAGTAAAAAAAGATGTGATATCTGCAATGATTCACACAAACTATACATTTAAAATTCTTTGATGGATAGAAGTAGTAGATATACCCTCAAAGGGTCAGTGATCAAAATATGTTGTTCAAAATCTACGTAAATCTCTGAAATTGGAAGTATCTCACACAAAAATAAATTACATATTATGGTGGTCTAGCAATATAATGATAGTTTTTCCCCAGAGATTTTAACTTTTCTAGCATATAATAATGTACTAATATATATTTATATAGGACTTCAGAGTTTCCTGATGACATTCAACACCTCACTTTGTTTTAATTCTCTTTATTGTACTGGGAGATAGACAGAGTGGTTAGTTATGATCATTCCTCACTTCCACTGAGGCACTGAGAGCTTGAGAAGCCTAGCAAACCAGAATCTGAATCCGGATTGTTAATAGCGTATAGTCATTAAGAAGATGGCCATTAACAGATGGGACAGTGATAGGTGAAAAAACTTGAACAAAGATTCATAAAATGAATTAGAGGTTGAGTAATATTTTGAGCTCGTTGCTATAGTCAATCTGGCTAATTCATTTTTTCATTTACAGTGGTATTTTTTAAGTTTAGCAGCAGAAGTGTTATAGTGGACTATGATATTTTCTTGCATGGGTGCAAGGAGATACATTTGAAAAGAAAGAATATAATGCCCTAATAAAAATACTTCTTGCCAAAATCATCATATTCATGTGAAAATGGATCATCAAGAGTTCTTTCTATGTAGTACACCCAAAAAGGAGAACGCCTTGTTCATACATCATTCTGATGAGTGTTGACGATTGCCAAGTTGAACTATTTTGTGTCTAAAATGGAATAACAGTATTGTTTCAGTTAGTTAAACAAAATATTCCACAGTATTTTCTTGGTTAAGTGTTTCCTCTCTGTAAAGCTGTGGTGAGCTGTTAGTAGTCACTCATATATTACCAATGCCCAGAAGGGTGTGCTCAGGGACTCAGGAAATAGTTACTGAAATGAAATGAAATTACTTGCGTTAGGGCTAGCAGTTGACAAAATGAAGAAGTGGGAAGCAAACATTACCAGAAAAAAGTCAGAAATGGCTTTTTTCTCCCCAGACTGTTGTTCAAGGGCTTTAAAATTTTTTTTATAGTACATGGATATAATAGTTAAACTTTCCACTAATAAAATTATTCTAGTTGTTAGGATAGAGTTAGATAAATCACTGTTTTACCGTGTTCCCCCAAAACTGATGGAATCTAGCTATTTTGTGGCTTGAATAAGTCAGCGGACTTTGTTAGGAGGTGGGAAGGGATGAAAGAAGGGCGGGAAGAGGAGTAACCACCATGCCCATGGCTCGGCAAGGTACTTGACCTATATCATCTCATGTAATCTCAGTAAATCCTGTGCAATATTATCCCTCTTTAGCCACAGGAAGTGGAACCCCGAGGGGTCTGACAGCCTGCTCTGCAATTCCCCAATCTGGGAGTTAGGAGGTAGTGTTTGTACCCAGGTTTATGCTGCTGCTACTGCTGCTCCCGCTGCCCAGATCTGCTTGTTCTGGACCCAGATTCTTGGCCTGAAAACTTGGGATTGCCGGTCGAACGGAGTGGGGTTTAAGCTGGCTTTCACAAAGTAAACTAAATATTGGTTGAGGATGAGTGAACCCACACTTTTCAAATAAACCATATGCAAATAGATATGCAAATGTATGTGTATAACTCACTGAACTCAGCTGAGGCTTCTATCTTCACTACTGAGCCAAGTCTGTCCTTGTTAAGGTTACTAGTCACCTCCATGTTGCTAAATCCAGTAGCAATTTTCAGCTGTTATTTTACTTAATCTATCGGTAGCATTTGATGCAACTTTTTTCCCTTCCCTCTTGAGACACTTTCTATTTACTTGGCTTCTAGAACATCACACTCCTGTTTTTTCTCCCATCCGTTGGCCACCCCTTCTTAGTCTCCTTTACTGATTTCTCCTCAGTCTCCTGAGGAATGCCTCAGGATTCAGGTCTTAGATCTCTTCCCTTTTTTGTCTACACTCGTTCACCACCAAAATCTCTAGTCTGTTGTTACAGGAGACTCCTAGCTGGTCTGTTTCTTTCTGCCCATGATGTCTTACAGCCTATTCACACAGCAGCAGAGTGATTGCTCATCCTTTATTGACTTGATTCTCATCTTAAAATAAAACCCAAAGTCTTTACCATACCCGCCAAGGCCCTACAGATTTTGTTCCCCCATCTCCCACCAGTTAACTCTCTGATCTCCTCTCTTACTTCTCTGCCCCTTGCTTACTCATGTCCAGACACAATAGGCTCTTTGCTCTTCCTTTCACACCCCGGGAATGTTCCCTCCTCTAGGTCCGCACCAGTGGTTCCCACGATATCTGTAAGGCTCACTATCTCATCTCCTTCATGGATTTGCTTATGCGTCTCCTTTGAGTTCTTCCCCGACCTCCCTATTTAAATGGCAGTTCCTCTTCAAAAGCATTTCCTGATCCTCTCGTGCTGATAATTTGTTTGTTTCCACAGCCCCTGTTACCATCTGACATACTGTTCCTTTTGCTCATTTATGTTTATTTATTTCCCAATTAGAATGTAAACTCTGGGGGAACAGGGGTTATTACTTAGGTTCCTATCACCCAGGACAGTGCCTGGAACATAGTAGGCACTTAGTAAATAGCTGTGGAATAAATGAATTGCTAATGAGTGTGAATACTTAAGTCTACTTCTGGTAAATGATAGATCTAGCTAATGTGTTTCTAGTGTTGATTTCAAACCCTCCTCTCTGGAGTGACTGAGGAAAATGCCATGAGTGATCCTGGATCCTCCTGGACATGTTAGAGTGCTGGCCTTGGCCTGTCCCTCTTCTCTGTATCTGGAGTTCTCTGGACCCTTCTCTGTTGTCATGCAGACAGTTCTTAACTCTCTGCTGCCAAATGCTTAGACTTTACATCTTAAGTACTGTATCTTTATCAACTCTATTTTCATAGCTCTGGCTGTTCCTTTTACATACTAGAAATCAAGGAAGTGAAATTCTCTGCTTGTGCAGCCTTAAGTGCCCACCTCAGCTACCAATGACCACACAGACTCTTGGAATTGGTTTTTTCCGGTTTCATTATTCTGGGCCCATGAAAACCCTTACGGTATATATTCACGCATTTGTTCCATTTATCCTTTTGGTATAATCCATATTATTTGCTTCAGATTCATCCGAGATGGCCTATTTAATATCAGTGTATTTATTTTATGTACCAGTTATGTCTATCTAAGTTCTCCCCTCAAAGAACTCCAACCATCAGACATTGCTTCAGCAAGCAGGAAATTCTGTACATGGTGGTTCTTGCTGACCCAGCTAAAAGAGACCGAATGACGCATTTCACTTTCAGGGGCTATTGCTGGGTTTTGATATTCCCTGGTACTATAAATAGCAGTTCAGGTACACAGAACATTTTCTTTGCAGTCCACTTCAGTGTTTGCAGAAAGAAGGTCACATGCTCTCTGGTTGAGCACAAGTCACTTACCCCTTGTGCCTCCTAAGTTCTCGGCAGACCCCCCCCCCCCCCCCGAGTGTTCATTTGCTCATAGCATACTTTTGTGCCTTTGTTTATGCTGCTTTCTCTGCCTGGCAGAATCCTACTCGTTCTTTACGATTCATCTCGAATGAGAAAGCTTCCCTGAGTCGGCTTGGCAGAAATGCCTTCTTGTTCTTCTATGGGATTCTTCACGGCATTTGGAGCCTCCCTTTTCTAGAGCGATTTCGGCATTACATTAGAGTCTGTTATATAAGTCTATATCTTCACATACTCCTTATGTCCCAAATTGTGAATCCTGAGGCCTGCGACTTCTGTATCTTTGTCTTTATCCCCAGCAGTCAGCATAGGAAACTCTCAACAACATTTGTTGAGTGAATGGCTGATTGTATGAATGAATGAAATTGCGTTCAAATAGGGGAATAGAATTCGTTTGAATTTGTTTCCAGCTTAATACCTTTAAAACTAATCCTATAAGTTTAGGTTGGAGTTTTCTATTTTCCCTAGCAGACACCCTCTACTATGTGCATGACCATTTTGATACAGAAAAAAAGTTATATTTAAATACACTTCAGGGAGCGTAAAACAATTTTTTTTTAATTTCAAAAGAAAGGCTAGTTTGTTCCTTGCAAACTCCTCAGCATCTTTCTTTCCACATGCTCTTTTTGCTCTGCCCAGTCTTCAATCAAATTCCTCCAAAGGGTCTGCTGTAAACAATGATTTTGTGAGCGGTTGTGTGTTCTCTGCAGTGAAAACCCGCCTTGTTTTCTGTTGCTAGGCAACCCCATTCCAGCTGCCCTTGAAGAAATGCGCGGTGGTGGGAAATGGTGGGATTCTGAAGAAGAGTGGCTGTGGCCGTCACATAGATGAAGCAGATTTTGTCATGCGGTAAGAGAGCACCCACAGCGCGGCCTCTGCCTTCTCTCTTTTACCCCACCCCTCCCACAAGCCCGGGGCCTTTCAGAACTAGTCACTTGTGATTAATCAGTTGTAGCTGCTCTTCAGCTTCCCTTCAAGTTCATATACAAGTGAGTTTAGGAGAGGGCCAGGGGAGCACGGGAACAAGCCCCAAGAAAGAACAAAGCTGAGAAAGGCTCAGAGGTCATGGGGAGACAGTCCGCTGTGAATAAAGGCAGCCGGGAAAAGTGGAGACACTCAGATTTTATTTTAGATTGTGCAGTTGAGTGATGAAAACTAAAAATTTTTCTTAAGACTAACTCTATGAATAAACATTTTCATTTATTCATTCTATACTCTTTTCTTCTTCTTTTTTCACCAAAGCATTTGTGAGTAGCAAGTGGGATTGGAAGAGAGATTTGATCTGTGCATGACTAGGAAAACTGGAAGGAAGGAGGGGGAATATATTTCGAGCAAGGAGGAAGCTTGGTAAAGGAACTGAGCAGAGTGATGTCATGTACATCAGTTCCAGCAGAAAACAGGAGGCTTCTGTGGGGGCATGCAAAAGAGCTGCTAAGACACATCCAGCCAAGGGTAGAGACCGTCATACTGTAGTGGTAGCAACCTGCACTGTTGGGTGATTTTGACCACAACTGAAGACAGCAAGTGATTGGATTGATATAGGTTTGGTATGATTTGGGTGAGACGAAAGAAGGACAGTGAGGAAAACACCGAGGGTCCTGGCTAGAAAGAGTGTGAAGTGTCACACCTTGAGTCTGGATTGGATAGGCAGTGAGTCCTGAGAAGCTGAGGGGGAAAGGAAAGGACCAAATGGGGCCAAGTGATGTGGTCATTCAGAGCCTGGAGGGGGAAAGTGGTGGGAAAGATGAGGGAGGGATGGGATAATAAGACAAAGAATGGCACACCGGAGTTCACAGTTTCAGAGCTTAGCTTCTCTGGGGACGATCAGATGTGTTGTAGAAAAAGAAGTGTAGAAAGTTTGAAGCTAGACTGTGGAGGGTTTTTCAGGTGGGCCCCAAAGCCTCACTGAAGTAGAAATGACTACGAACCAGGTGCCAGAAGGCTGCGGGGCCAGGAAGGCTGAGGTCTGAGCAACGCAGAGGGAATAACACTGGCAAAAGAGGAGGGGACGTTTTGGGTTTTGTTTTCATCTTTAAGGATAAATAGATAATGGTCTACAAGTGGCAAAAGGCAGCTGAGAAATCACTAAACCACCTCCGAGCTCTGAGCTAAATGGAGCTGGGGAGAGTAAAGACTCTGAGACTGTTCCAGGGGAAGCCACGTACTTGGGGGAGGGCCACGTTCCCTCTCAGAGAAGGAGAGTTGGGCTCCTTGAGAGACTTCTTATCTCACTGATGAAGCCTGCAGCAGAGTGAGGAGATCCTTCTATAGCTGTCTTTCCTTCAAGGAGCTGCCCTGCCATAATATTTTCAATGTATGACTGTGTTTTCCTTTCCATTGCAGTTATGATTATTTTTTGGCAATATAAACAAACAATGGGAAAATGGAGAAAATGAAAATGTAGTTCTCTTCATTCAGGTCAATACAACATCTGTTTATTGAGCACCTTCACTGTATTGGGGCTTAGTGGTGTCTGGAAATGGTAGGTTGAACAGTGCTGTCGTGGACTTGGAACCTGGAGATGTGCTAGTGCTATGATTTGGGTAGCTCAGAAACAGACAATGGGGGAGTGAGGAGCTTCTGAGGAAAAGTGGTGTGTATCCTGAGCCCTCTCTTCATTCTACCTGGGCACAGGAACAACTTTTGCAAGGCTCTAATGTGGTAAAGACACCAAGTGCTGTCTCAGTGTTGTGAGCCACGGGGAGAGTGCTGTGAGATGGGGCTGGAGAGGTACTTAAGCTATAGGAGTGGATATAATCGCCTAGGGAGCACAGGTAGATGAGAAGAGCAGAAGCCCTGGACCAGTTCAGGTGCCCACCCCAATCTAGTAGCATTAGGTGGAGGTTGAGGGGCCAGCAAAGAAGTAGGTAGGAGGGCAAGCCCTTGCCACTAACTAGCTCTGTGACCTACAATGTGTCATTTGGCCTTTGCTGGGGCTCAGCTTTCTCATCTCTGTAAGGAAGTGGGAGCAGACAATTCCTCAAGCCTTTCTGTTGTGGAAACTGATTCTGTGATTGTACGAATGCTATAGAAGTGTAACACAGTTCATGTAGTCTAGTTTAAATTTTCAGATTCGTCTCAAATGTCGGTTTATTCTCTCTTTCCAAAAACTATGTAAAGAAGAAAGAATGGATAATATTATAGACTCAGTTTCACGGAAGTGAAGTGATTTCAAGAGGTCTTAATACATTGTGGAAGGAGGCAGTACAATAATGTAGTTTTATATTATTTCTGGGTGCGTATGTGTGTGTGTGACTACATTGAGGAAGAGGGATATTTTGAACTTAACATGTAGGAAACTAGGCCTAAGCATTGTAGGAGTTATCTAGTGGGGTCATATCTTTCTCAACTAAACCAGACTAACTTTGCTTTGTATACAGTCAATGCTGATATATTCAAGTTCAGAATTAATGAGTTCCTGTGATTAGAGTGCCCAGCACATTATTAAGCATAATGTTCATGGAATGATGAAAGAGGTGAGGATTGAAGAGAATTCAAAGAAGGTAGGATCGTAGCTAGAGCTATGTGTGCATCTGCCTTAGATTTAATTTTAAGAATAGTGCCATTTTCATAACACATTTGAATTTTTAAAAAGCTTTATTTATGGTTTACAATATGAGGGTAACTGTTGATAAATTGTTTATAAATTTATTTTTATTGACCATTTATGGATCTATTTATAAATAGTTGCTTAATACACATTGCGGGGGGGCATCCTTAGAAAATTGAGATAGTATCATATATTCTAACATTAAACCTTGGGTGAGTAAATATGGTTAGAAAGCATGTAGTGTGTCTGGTCCTAGTCTATAGGGCGCAGGGACAGTTACATTGAAAGAGGAGATCCCAAAATAACCTTACCCATACATCATTACAGATCAAAATGTCTTCCAGAACTAGGATATAACAATGCTGTAACTTTTTATGCTTAGACATTTTCAAATACATCTCCCAATGCTGAAAATCAGTTTCCTGTTTTTCAAAGTAAACATTTGCTCTATAGCCAAAAACAACACTTCAAAAAATAATATTATTGAGTAAAATTTATCTGGAAGGTCTGCAAGACAGAGGGAAAAATTGGGTGGCTCAGGGATACAGGGGAGGGCAAAATAATTTTGGTACCATTGGATTATGCTCAAATATGTGTTTTACATACATAAGTATATACAAAAGCAGTAATTTTAAGATCTTTTCTATTTAAGGATTCCTTTCCACCAAGCCCATTCCCTACCCACCTCTACTCCCCAATGTGAAGAATGTTCATTTCTCATCAATTCTGTCATCACATGTTTTAGGATTACACTGAGCACAGTTACTAAGACATTTTAGCCATTAATACTGTTAATTGTACCAACAAGGGATAATGCAAAGTTTGAAACACTTTTATACAATTATATCTTGTTAGAAACAATTTGACTGTATTAAATGGGCCTTTTATGTACGTCTATGTAATTATCAATTTAAGAGTTGAGGAGCTAAAATTATAGTGTGCTTTTTCTAAGAAAAGAGCTACAAGGAGGTGTCACAGACATTTGCACTTGAAGAGAAAGTTTACTCAGAAGAGCTTAAAGACAGATTTTTACACCAAAATACAATATCATTATTTTCCCGAAATGCATTTATAAAATATTACTTTATTGTTTTAAGCATTTCTCTCTGTTGTAGGATTTGGTAGTCAACATCCAGAAGTTTTTCTTGAGTTAATCTTAGGAAAATTTAATAGTTGGGGAATGGCAGAGACTTTAATATTTGCAAGTTCCCTTTCGTACAAAGAAACTATGTGTTAGTCTGTTTTCAGAGTAAAAACTCTGTGGTGGGAGGTATGAAAGGACCCAGACATTTGAGCCAGGGATCACCCTACAAGGAACACACAGAAAAACAAAGTATTTATTCATGAAAACCAACTTGTTTAGTTTAATAATGACAAAACAGGTTGACCGCACTTCCTAGCAATATTCAGAGTTTACAGTTTTAGTATATCATGGTTGATTCTCACATGTTAATGAAAGACTATCAAGATCAAAGCTTTTTTAAGAGACAGCCAAATTTTAGCCTGTGTTTTATCCTGGAAGTCTTCTTTGTCTTTGCAAAGATCAGTTAAATCACAAGACTACAGTCATCACCACTGCCAGAGGAGCTTGGTTGTTAATACGTGTATAAGTTCACTGCCTCACAAGTGTCCTCAGAAATCACGTAGGATATGGTGCGCCCACTACACTGTAGACGCCTTAAGAGTCAGCTCTGCAACTTGGCTTCCCCCGGGCTCCCCACAGTGCCCATTGTGTTCATTCTCAATGGGCACTCAGCAAAAGTCACCGACTGGCTGACGAATTAATCTGTGGGTAGCTGTCAGAAGAACCAGTGTCTCATTATCAAAGAGCAGATGAAAGGAAGATTCCAAAGCAACTGAGACAAGTTTCCACCTAGGATGCCCTGACGTGGTAAGAGTCACAGGGTAAATACAAGACAGCATCAAGGAACTTGAGCTGATCAGCTGAGTGGGCACATGGACAATTCCATGACCTGGGAGAAATTTGTAGGGAAAATTTAACAGTTGGGGAATGGCAGAGACCTTAATATTTGTAAGTTCCCTTTCTTACAAATAAACTATGCTTTAATTTGTTGAAGTAATAAAAAGTTAGAGGTGCCCTGATGTGGTGGGAGTCAAGTTAGAGGTGTGGGTGGAGAGGAGAAAGTAGGACACAGTAATAAAAGAAAACCTAATGGAAACCGTAGACTCATTTGGGTTTTCATAAATAATAAATAAATATTTAATTATCTTTACATTTTATTTCTGATATGTGATATTTTTGAGCTTTTAGTACGTGTGAGTCATCAAGGTGGGGCCCTTTTATACATTTCTTTCTTTAATCATTACAACAACTGTATTAGAAAGGAAAAGTCATTATGCTCATTTTGTCATGGGGAAACTGAGGCCAGGCAGATGAATTAACTTGCCTCATGTCCCACTGGCAGGAAGCCATGGGATTTGGATTTGCAGTTGCTGTATTTTCCATTGTAAACATTCGTAAGACATTGTGGCCAGGAAAGTAACGGGGTCTGGGGTGGTGTGTGTGTGTGAGGGAGGGGAAGCTATTTCTGTCACCAGGAAAACATCACCTGTACTCTTCCCCTTGGCTGAACTGGCATGGTGGAGAGTCATTGCATTTCTTTAGATGACAGATCATTTTGCCTTCCCCAGTAGTCAACCCATCCATTGGTCATGTACCCAAAAGTCAGACATGCATTGATTTAGATGGCAGAGTTTGCCCTGAATGTGCTATTATACTTTAGAATTGGGGAAAAGAACGAAAAACACAAGCAAATACAATTCTCCCCTGTCTCTTGAGGTTTGTGGGTATGCAGAGAGCACTGTAGATCTTGTGTCTGTAACAGTACCACATCCTCCTGCACTCTAATTTCAAGTCTGATACTCTTTCCTACCACTTCAAACATATTTTGAATGGAATAAATTCATTCTAGTTACTTCTCTTTCCTATCATGGATCACTTACCTCTCTAGCTGACATTTTCTTTCTTCTAAAACAGGACTAGTTTTTATGACAGCATTTTGAAGATGCTGATAGTTAGTCATCTAATGTCTATTGAAAGGGAGAGGTGATAAAAACAGTTATTTGTGAATTGAGCTAGACTTAGTAAAATTCCTATTTGTCACAACTGACTTGATTTAAAAGTATGTAAATTGTTCTAAAATGTTTGCTCTTGTTTCTCTAGATGCAATCTTCCTCCGTTATCAAGTGAATACACTAAAGACGTTGGATCCAAAAGTCATTTAGTGACAGCTAACCCCAGCATAATTCGGCAAAGGTAAGAGTTTATGGCATCTGTCTGTGAGGAACTCAAGAGGAAAGCTTTTGAAGTATTTAACATTTTAAAGGCAGTGAACATAATTCAGTTTGAGAAACAAAGAAGAAAACCATCTGGACAGGCAGGAAGGATGAAGGAGGGAATTGTAAATAAACTAGGCAGGATTATGGGAATCCAAACACTATTTCGTGCTTCCCCTGGGATTCTGTTTCTTGCCATTAGAGATGGTAGAAATAACATGAAAATCTTTTGTTTTGCTCAAAGAAGCAATGTAGTATCCTGCTTACTCCTTACTACTACTTTCTGATTTGCCGACTTCAGTCCCAACTCATTGATTGGCATTGATTGGTGAGCTGAATTAATATCAATTTTATTAAAGGATAAAAACAAGGAAATGGCCAATCTACTATACTATATGCATGCATGAAAATAGCAGTATTCTTGGAATGTGCAGGAATGTATGATTATGTGATATAATAATATATTACATTACATTCAATCAGCTTTGGAAACGCAGACAGAAAATTCTTGCTCTAGTATCCATTCCAGATATCTTCACAGCTGCTGTGGGAGCTTCTGGGGGTCAGTCTCTAGCTGATGAAGGCCATCAGTAAGCTATCAGCTGTTTCTCCAAGGTCTGGTCATTGTAGAGAATGACTCAGTCTTTGGGAAAAGAGGAGTCAAACGTTGCCTTTATATTCTCCCGTGCAGCTACCCATTAGGAGTGAAATACCCTGACATTGCGGACTCAGGCGCTTGTCATCTTATGAAGTCCTGGCCAAGTGAACAGCATTGGTGTGTCACTTTATAAACAATGCCGTTCTACTTGTTTTGGTTTGTAAGTAAGCGTTCCTGTAAAATAGATGTCCAGAAACACAACCAAACAATTTTTAATTTTGACAGATATTGCAAAATTACCCTTCCAAAATGTAGTATTTACTTTCTCTTCAGAATGGATAAGACTGCCTGTTTCCCAGTACTGAAAACAACATTATGTCCTATTAATCTTGTAAATGTCTGTCAGTTTGTTGGGTGAAAAATGATATGTTATTTTTTACTCCATATGCATTCTTTTCTGAATACAAGAAGGGCTGAGTGGGTATTGACTATTAGTATTTCTTCTATATTTTGTATTTTTTGTTCATTTTGTGCTTTCTGTGTGCGAGTGTGAGGAAGATTGGCCCTGAGTTAACATCTGTTGCCAATCTTCCTCTTTCTGCTTGAGGAAGATGGTCCCTGAGCTAACATCAGTGCCAATCTTCCTCTATTTTATATATGGGATGCCGCCACAGCATGGCTTGATGAGCAGTGTGTAGGTCTGTGCCCAGGATCTGAACCTGCAAACCCGGGCCAGTGAGGTAGAGCATGTGAACTTGACCACTACACCACTGGGCTGGTCCCTGTACTTTTTTCCTTTTAAAAAAAATTTTCCTGTTGATTTATAGGAACTGTTTATATTCTACATATTAAATCTTTATTTGCCATATTTGAAGCGAATATTTCCTTCTAATCTGTCACATATCTTTTAGCTTATGTTCAATCAGAATTTAACATTTTTTATATAATGAAATTTGTTAGTCTTTTCTTTTATGGCTTCTTTTTTTAAAAAAAATCTTTGTTTGGATAATCTTCCTTATCTACATCCCCTTCAATGAGAAAATGTCATCTTGTATTTCTCTAGTGCATTTATAGTTTCATTTTTCATATTCAAGAAATTTAATCCAGGGGCCGGCCCCATGGCGGAGTGGTTAAGTTTGAGTGCTCTGTTTTGGCAGCCCAGGGTTTCACTGGTTCGGATCCTGAGCGTGGACATGGCACCACTCGTCAGGCCACGCTGAGGTGGCGTCCCACATGCCACCACTTAGAAGGACCCACAACAAAAGAATATACACATATGTACTGGGAGGATTTGGGGAGAAAAAGTGGAAAAAAAAAAGATTGGCAACAATTGTTAGCTCAGGTGCCAATCTTTAAAAAAAAAAAAGAAAGAAATTTATTCCATGTGAATATGTTTATTTTTATAACAATAATTTTGCTTTTCAACAAAATATTTTTTATTATAAGGAATTAAAACAAAAGAGAAAAGTACAAACAAGGTAAAAAAATCACCCCAAACCTCACTATTTGTAAATAACCATAATTAACCATAATTTGGTAAAGTTTTTCCAGATATTCGTATATTCTTCAGAACTTTGAAGCTATTGTTTCATTAACTTCTTCCACCCAATCTTGTCAATCAGAAGTCTAATGGAAATCTATTTTTTGTTCTAAGAAGGGAAACCTGTTTTTCCTATCTCCACTAAAAGCTTTTACAATTTCTTTTTATCATTTAAATTCAGAAAGTTTACCAAGATCTATCTTAGAGTGGGTCTTTTCTCATTCATGTTTCTCGGCACGTTAATGAGAAGTTCTTTTAGTTGGAAGACTTGAGGGTTTAGTGGTTAAGAGTCTGTACTCTGCACAAGATGACTTGGATTTTACTCTCTGCTCGCCCACTTACCAGCTGTGTGAACTTGGCTAAGTTATTTAACACTTCCTCCTTTTGTTTCTTCATCTGTAAAGCAGGGACAATAATACCTACATAATAGATTTGTTATAATGAATTAAACTACATATGGATGTACATGTACATATGTGTATAAACACATGTGTATATCTATGTAGATTATAATTACATATAACGCTTAGAACAGTGCCTGGTTCTAAGCACCATGTAAGTGTTAGCTGTCATAACATTCTCTTGCTTATGTGCCTGATTATTTCCTCTTCTCGACTGTATTTGCTCTCTCTTTTCTAGTCTTACTATATGGATGTCAGAACTTCTAGCTCTATTATCTATGACTTCTAACTCTTTTCTTATACCATATAGCTGTGTGTGTGTGTGTTTGTGTGTGTGTGTGGTGTGTTGTATCCCAGGAATAACCCCTTTCAACTCACTAAATAGTATTTTAGTTGTGTTCATTCTTCTATATAGTCTCCCACTTTCACTTTTTAAAATTGTGTTTTTGTTTTCTGTGAGCCTAATTATTTCTTTTTCAAAGCAGCACGTTCTTTTTTTTTACAGATGTGATGTCCTCTTAAGTTTCATCAAGAGCCTATATTAATGCACTTAAAAGTTTTTGTTTATTTGTGCATTTCAGATTATTTCCTTTATTTTTTGGATTTAATGCTACATATGTGATTTGACTTTTTCAAAAGTTTGAATGTTTTTTGTTCATTTTTGTATGATGTCTGTTTGCTGCCAGTAAATATAGGTATATTGCTGACATAGTCAACAATTAGTTTTTAAAATGTCACTGAAAACCAAAAATGCCTGTCAAATGTGTAAGTCGGTAAATTAAATGAATGACTAAAAATCAGTGCTTAAAATTTAATTTTTACTGGTGTTTGTCGATGTAGCTAATGTAGCATAGCAAGGAGTTGGGAAGAAAGAGAGAACAAAACATACTCTCTCGTAGTTTAGTTATTGGCTCTCACTCAATTCTTGTTTTTTGTTTTGTTTTTTTGGGAGGGTGAAGGTCTGATCAGGAATATGGCAGAAAATCTCGAATGATGATGGTGTCTTTAATTCAGTTAAGTGGGTTGATGTTTTGGGAATTCTAGGAATACAGTTTGTATGCCTTCTTGGAGAATTCTCATTCAACAGAATGAGCAAAGGGGCAAGAGAACACTTACAGAAATTTTTCTTTGATTATTTAAAAACTTTTTATTTTTAAATAGTTACAGGTTCACAAGAAGTTGTAAAATAGTGCAGAAAGCTCCTATGAACTTTGTCTCCAGTTTCCCCCAGTGGTAACATCTTGCATAACCATAGGATAATATTATAACTATTATTTGACCTGGGAACAAAATAACTTTTAAGGAGAAATAAATGTTCTTGTGGAGGAGACTTGAAACGTTCAGTGTATTACATTCAAGAGTGAAAGATTCTGTTTTCCTACCTGATTATGTGGAGCTGGTGGTACGATTTTAAAAGGAATGTGAAAAAGAATGTTTAAACCAAGATTTAGAGCAAGATGAGAGATAGAGATATTGAGATTGTACTTTTGAGAAAAATTGTAGTAACTACAGAAGAAGAGAGGAAAGGGTCAAAAATTAAGTATTTATGAGGAAAAGTAAACCTGCCGGTTACGACTTAAGTTCACTATAAAGAATTAATGTAAGGCAAACAAGAATCATTATTATTAATATTGGTCAACTTTTAGTCAACATTTCTATGTGCCAGGTTCTGTGTTCTTTATATGCATTTCCTCACTTAATCCTCAAAACAGCTCTAATAGGTAGAAAGCATTTTAATTTGTGTATTTACAGAAACTTTAGTCACCTGCTCATACTCATAGCTGCTACTAATCTGAGACTTGACCTAGATATGTCTCAATGACCCAGACCCATAGCTTGTGCTCTTAACCAGTGACCATCGCATCTCTCAGTCTTTCCGGGTGATCCGTGTATTGTACAAAGAGAATAAATGGAGTTTCACAAGTGATAAATCATTTTGGAAAAGTGAATGAAAGTTCTCTCCTTTAAAAAAATGTATTCTAAATATAGCAAGATTTTTTGACACAAAATCAAAATTCATACAGCAATTCTGTTTTGAGAAATAAAGAAAAAATATACCATTTACAATAGCATCAAATAATATACTTAACAATTAAACAAAAAACCAAACCCTCTATGGAAAAATTAGGGCATTTTATTGAGAGACATTTCGTACAACCTGACTAAATGTACTGATTTACCACGTCCGTGATTGAAGGACTCGGTATTGGAAAGGCGTCAGTTCTACCACATTGATCTATAGATTCACTGAAGTTCCGATAAAGTAACATAGGCCTTGTGATTTCTTAAACACTCTTTAAATAACACTAATTATAAGGGAAAAGACTGATAAGTTTGATTTATTAAATTAGGAACTTTTATTCATAAAAAAGTTTTTTTATAAAAGTAGAGCAACTATAGTCACATTGTAGAAGATGACAACTAGCAAAGGACTCATATCC